TATGATGCACGATCCTCGCAGTAGATAGCGCTATTTAAGCAATAGCGAAAATCAGACCTGAAAAAAATCAGGCCTGTACGGGATTCGAACCACTGACCTCTGCGATACTAGTGCAGCGCTCTACCAATTGAGCTAACAAGCCAACTGGGAGCAAGCCGTTAAGTTGATTCGTAATAAACCCGTGAAAGTGATAAATGAGATACAATGAAATATATGAAGTTCATATATTTTGTACTGCGGTATTAGATACATATGATGCTATCTACTGCGAGGATAGTGCATCATATGTATCTAATACCGCAGTACAAAATATATGAACTTCATATATTTCATTGTATCTCATTTATCACTTTCACGGGTTTATTACGAATCAACTTAACGGCTTGCTCCCAGTTGGCTTGTTAGCTCAATTGGTAGAGCGCTGTACTGGTATCGCAGAGGTCAGTGGTTCGAATCCCGTACAGGCCTGATTTTTTTTTCAGGTGTGATTTTCATTAATACTGGATTAACATTAATACTGGATTAATTTCTTGTAATGGTTTTCTCTGAAGTTCTAGTTAAGACTAGTTAAGAGACTGACTTTCTCATTTCAATAACTTTTATTTCAAGTTATTCTAGCTCGTTTTAGTTTTACGCGACAGCGTTGCTTGGTCGCCTTTTCCGGCGTTTGTTATTATAATATACATGATACAATATTTCCGACGTAATAATATACATGAAAAAATTTCTCAGTTCTGATCGGTCAAGATGAATGCAGTTTTCGGTTAATTCAGTGCAGAAGAGGGTTAATTCAGTGCAAAGAAAGAAATAAACCAGACATTCTGATTGGTCAGAATGACTGGTCAATGTCAATGTCCATGTCACTTGCAGAGTTTGAATAAATTATTTCTGTACATGATGCGCGCGCTTTTCTTCTGCGTAGTTATGAGAAGCTACCTCGTATTTTTTCATGTATATTATTAATAGATATAATTATTTCTATATATAAATAATTTCTCGCGCAATTTGGAATAAATAGGCACTTGTAAATTTTTTCAAAGACCACAAATTGCACTCGCCCTACGGGCTCATGAAAAAATGAAAAAATGAAAAAATGTACTCTTGCTTATTTATTCCAAATTGCATTCGAAGTCATGTTATTACCTATCCTAATAGCCAACTTCAACGGAAAAAGAAAGTATGACGTCATATATATATAAGACAAGTTACTCTTACCATGTGCTCTCGAAGTTTGTCGATTAAACTTTCGAGTTGATGTTGTTTTTTTTTCTTAAAGACTGTTTGACGTCATATTTCACCCTTACTCCAGTCCCTGTGATTTACCGATAGTGCAACCACACAAATAGTTGGTTTATCTAGCCAGGCCCGTAACCAGGGGGGTGCACGGGGTGCGTTTGCACCCCCCACCTACAGGCCCCAAAGGTCCACATTTTGATACTCAATATTCAAGTTAAGGGGTGCAGTCGGTTAAACTGAAGTTTAAAACGTAACAGTGATACTTAAACAAAATCAAAGAATGGAAAAAGCAGTAATGTCTTCACTGGGAAACTAAAACCAGCTGCACTCTCGTAGCCTGAGCCATTCAGAACATTTCAATGAGTGCACAGACGTCAGAGCTTATTAAATGAATAATGAAATTAACGTGCGCACGCTTTGCACGGGAGTTAAGACGAGCGAACCAATGACAAGGGAGCGATCTCACGACTTTTGTCAGACACGTCTGCTAACGCGACGGGTAGTATTCTCTATTTGTACGAGCGTATGAACGCCCGACGATGCGAAATTAGTTTTTTGTGTCATACGTAATGGGTAGGAGAGAAGAGGAAAATGGAAAGATGAAGGCTGCAGCTAAATCTTGCCAGTCTCTCGATACATGGGTAAGTAAAGTACCCCGTCAAGAGCCGTCAGACGCTGACAATGACAGTGCAGTCTGCGATGACAGCCCAGCTGAAACCACGACGTCAGATCTATCTCAGTTAACTACAGTTTTACAGCGAGCTTTGGAAGGTAAATCATACTTATTTTCGCAATGTCCACCACTCTTGATCCCATTATCATACTCTGAGATTTAGTCGCTACTTCTCGATATGAAACAAACTCGCTTAATAAACAACCAGTGAGGAAACACATAGTAACAATTCGGAGAGGGACTGGGGGAGGGTTAATCTCAAGCAGCAATCCACAGGCATCCCAAATCATAAAATAGAAGTTTTTGAGACACAAAGAGAAAAATACATTTTATGTTTCTCTTGGTCTCTTATCGTCATTTCCTGATGTCATGACAATATTCTATGAAAAGCCGATGTGTACTTTCTTAGCAATTCTGCATTGTTTATAAAATTGTAGAGAGTTCGCAAGCTCCAGTACCTGAGAATACTGATGACAATCTAACGCGTCATCACTTAGAACCAATGATGCAACAAGAAATAAATGACATCGGAAAGTTTTCGACGACCTCAGAGATATTTGGTTCTTCCGCAAATAAGTTGCCAGTTGGTCAGAAGTATCACTTGATTAAAAGTCATTTTGTACCACCGATCAACTACAAGTTTCCAACGCGATTTCTTCATCAGTGCCAAAGAGGGTTTCAGTGACGATACCTCAGTGAGTACTCATGGATGGTCTACATCCCTTCAGTAGATGGAGTATTCTGTTAACACTGTGCCTTGATGATACCTCTGCATTGTAGGAAAGACAAGGCTGCTTTTGTTAACAAGCCTTTCATAAACTGGCATAAGCTTCAAGAAAAGGCAAAAAAAGATGAGAAAATGAAGTACCATCACGATGGAATGATCGCTACCGAATCCTTTCTTAATTCAGATGAAAACCCAAAGCTAAACGTGAACAACCAAATAGATGACGAAAAGTGGAAGAATATTATCAGAAATAGGCACATCGTTAAATGTGTTCCAGAAGTCATTCTTAAGGAGTGCGATGATGATCTCTTTCCAAATACATATGCGCTCCTCAAGATATGAGCCACAATTCCAGCAACGAGCTGTGAATATGAAAGAAGTGGGAGTTCTTAAGGCGGCTGCATACATATAACAGGGCACGCATGGGCTAGGAAAGGCTGTCGTCCCTCGCACTAATGCACATACGTTATCAAGTTAAAATTGTTTTGGATGAGGTGATAAATCTGTTTCCGTGGTTTGTGCCCCCCCACATAAAATCCTGGTTACGGGCCTGCTATCACATCTATTTCATCGTTAAAGGCTGATAGTTTCGAAAGAAACTGTTTGGGGCTGCGTCGGTGGGAGTAACGAAATTCCATTCGCTCCGACGAAGGGCTAATGCTCGAAACGTCAGCTTTTGTAATCGTTACGGTGGCCAATTTACCACTTCAACTTTGTTGATATATCCAAACTATATCATCGTTGTTTTTTTTCTAGCCCCCAACTGATGTAGAGTGCTTAGTCTATCAATAATCATGCAAGACAATAATGTTCATTCATTCTATTTATTCATCGCGAAATATTACAAAAACATTGTATGGTCGTCCACTGAGGAATCCAAAATGCTTTCCAGACAGCTTTCCATTACTTCTGTGGTTTCATTCAATTTCTTTCAACGTTTCCATTCCTTTTCGTCATTAGTAGTGCCTTAACTCAACAAAGATAGCTTCTCTTCCTTCAGATTGGAACTTCTTAAGGAAAGATAAATAAAATGAACTGAAGGCACACAAAGATGATGAACAAGTGAGCCAAAATAATTGTTACTTTAGTAAGAGTTTGAAAAACTTCAAACTATCTCAATGGTTAGCGCCTCGTGCTCACTCTTTTTAAGGTCAGCATATTCTGACAACAGGTTTAATAAAAGGATTTATCTATGGCTGACCTTTTAAGTGACAAGCATTCGATTTCTCTTAACAAAATTACCCCCGAATCACACATTATGGTCACGAGAATAAAGGAAATGATCTCCAACAAAGGGGCGCTTAATCGATAAACAAACAGCGTGACAAGTTGTCGATCTCGTTACCAAAGTCTCTCCTGTTCCCGCTGTTTTTCGCTGTGAACGAGAATATTAGACCTTTTGGGGAGGGATGAAGAGAGAACATGGAAACGCAGTAGATAGATTGTGGTAAAATTCCTTCGTATTAAATGGCACTAAAGATTTCTTTCATTCGTGGTTGGGGCACTTTGAAATGATCTGACATATGCGCTTATTAGATACGCTATTCATTGCGTACCCTTCGGTAAAGAGTTATCTATAAACCTTGTGAAGTTATTGTTCTGCAGATTAACAAAAACTGTTTCTAAAAATGATTCAGGATTTCGCGCTCCAAACGTTTACTTACCCTCGAGACACATTTTCCACCAATGTGAAGATAAGTAAAATTAGTGCCTAAAGACATCAAAAAAATAATCATTCTGTTGACTTAGATTAGTTCCTGTTTGACCTTGTAGTACGTAAAGATATTTCTTTTTTCTGTAGCTTCTCAGCAGGCCGAGATCTCAAACCCCTCTAATCTAATATGCTGATCGCGCGATCGTAACAGGTCCAGCATTGTACAGCTTTTTACAATACAGACCACAATCAGGAATTTCTTCCGCGTCAATTGCGGCAAAGCGGTTAAAGCAAACCAGCGGGAAAAAATAAATGAGTCTACCGGTCTAGGTAATTCGAACTACATTTATACGCAATTGGCAATTGGCCTAACAGGCATAATTCATAGTTTTTCTTCAGTTAACGAATAACTGTTTAAAAGTCCGCTCCAAAAATAGTGTACTTACTTGAGCAAAGCCCATGAGAGCTGCAATCTGCAAAATGAAAGAGTAAACTCATTCAAGTATTTGAACCTNAAAAAAAAGCCTGGAAAGCAAAGACTATTGACCATTATGGAAGAGTTCATCTTAACTTTGGTGAGACTCAGACTTGGGCTTTTAAGTAGACATCTCTCAGATATATTTGGAGTATCAGAGGGATCAGTTAGCAAAGTTTTCATAACTTGGGTTTGTTTTCTGTCTACAGTTTTTCATGACATTCTCCTCAAATGCCCTTGTAAGGAAGACGTTAAGAAAACTTTACCAAAGTCTTTTTGTAAGTTTCCAAGTACAAGAATAATAAYAGGCTGTACAGAGATATTTTTACAAAAGCCAACATCCCCTAGTGCCCASAGGGCCACCTGGAGTAACTATAAACGGCACAACACTATGAATGCACTAGTAGGAATCTGACCAACAGGTTATTTCACCTTCGTTTGTAAACTATGGACTGGAAATGTCAGCGACAGATACATAACAGAAAAAAGTGGTCTATTGGACAAACTTGAAGAGGGGGATTCTGTTATGGCAGACAAGGGGTTCAACATCAGGGATTTGAATCTTCATCATTTTCATAGGAATTTACATTCAGAGCTTGATTCCAAACAAAATACGAGCCGTCTTTCAATCAGTAACTTCTGCATCAACTAATGCTGAATACTTTGCTCTTTGATGCTATATATTCGATGCTGTGGCTACTGCTACCGTTTGTGCTTCTTAGTTGTCTTGTTGTTGTGGTTTTTAAAATTTAAACAATTTTTCACAGAGCTTTTATTGGTCCAAGCCTCGGAGGTGCTTTTGACGAACATTTTGGTTTTGAGTGGGCAATGACGGTATGTAAAATCAATGGAACCCAGCTTTAAGACCATTCCGGTACTTACGGCCACCTTTTTATGGCCCGAAAACGACCACACATTATTTTCATATAAAGTAAAACCAGGTCACCCGTTGATACGGTCGACGGCAGGCCACATCTAAAAACCCCAACCGGTTAATGCCGCCACTTAAGAAAAGTCAAGGAGCTTAGAGCTTGTCCTTGTTTTATTTTTACAGTAGAGTCCAAAAAAATGCATTAGGGTTTATTATGTATTGAGTGGAGTTTTTCATATTTTTACAATTACTGGAAAAATATCTTTATTCCAGTCGTTTAGGCCAATTTCATTGGGCCTGTTGATGACCTATTAACGGGTTTCCAATGTATATCCCAATAAATTACTAGGCTTGTCGTCGGAGTTTGTTTTTTTGTTAATGAAAAGGAGGAACTTTGGCTTAAATAATTCAACTAAAACGAAGGGTATAATGAAGTGCCATTAATTAAGGACCCAAACTAATAATCTTTGTTTGGTTCAAGTAAGCAGCGTTCGAGGGTAACTACGCCATTAAAGTGAAGCCAATTAATAACGAGTTACCTCTTCACCAGAGGAATCCAAGGTCGAACTTCCTCGAACTATTGGTCACCACTCGGCATACGCTCTCATTTTGTCCCAGTTGAAGGTCTATACATTCAGTCTTGTTCTAAACTCTCCACAATTCCCACATCAATGTCGAAACCCGCCACTAAGGGCTCCAAAACTGCCAGAGGACTAATGCGTGGCGTGTACAAATGATTTGTTTTCAAACCCTATTCGTTATTGCAGAAAGAATCTGTCCACAGGCTGAGATGGCTGTTGTGTCGAGAGGTTCTAATGTAATAATGAGTTTTCTAATTTATTTTTCAGATTGCAGGTCTCATAAGTTTCGCTCAAGTAAGTACAACAATTTCAGAATCGATTTTGAGCTGATGTTTTCTGAATTTGGACTTGGTGAGGTATTAGTATTGTTACTCAAGACTAGATCAAGACTTTTTAACAATTATCCTTAGACTGAAGGAAAATAATAAATTTTGTAGATCAACAGTTGTCAGTTGAGCGCAATGTACTCCGGAATTGCATTTGTATTGCCGAATTACACCCGTTGATTTTCAAGATTCAAAGTTAAAGTTATATCAGCTTACATCTTAACCTTTTCTTTGTGACTCCAAAGACTAAATTTTGCTTATGACACCTAAGTCTGAATACGAGTGCATCATCCTCCTTGGGTTTTATCCCGATTTCTGTTGCATTTAAAGACTAAAAGATTTCTTTTAATCATTTAATGGGAGATATACTAGTCCATCGCAGGGTATCCCCACATCTCTTTCCCGTGCAGTTTAGTCTGGTTTCCCCAGGAAATTTGCTGGTAATCATTTCTGCTCCTGGTTGGAGAGACTCGGCCTGTTCAAGGCGCCCACACTTAAGCCACCAAGTCATTCATTCTAATTGAACAGAAGAAGTAGAGTACTTTCTAATGGATATACATTTATATACAACGAGGCTAAACAATGATTAATTTATTTCAAATTAACTTTTTTTTCAATTTTTTAGGCACTCGTTGTGCTTATATTCACATTGGTGGAGAAGGTGTCCCGGGGGTTAGTAAATGTTGTACTATTTTCAAGAAATTCTGAATTTTTCTAGTAACTGTTATTGTTAATCTAGTTGTCTCCTAATGCCACCACCAACAACTCTTACA